AAAAACTACATGGAACAAGGAGTGTGTGTTTTGGAGCCATGAGTTGTGGAATGAAATTGCTAAACCAGGGATGGATGAAGCATTTCTGAAACAGAGTGTGCAGTTCAGTCATTCCGGTCTTCAAGAACTACAGCACGATCCCCTGTCAGCATGCCAGGGATGTGAACGCCAGTTTGCTATAAGGACACCACGAATGTCAGTGACTCCAGGGGTTTTGTGCCTGCAGAGGTGACTGCTCTGGTGTGGGACGGGTGTGAGCGATACTACGTACTTTCACCAGCCCCCTGCTCATGACCCCTGCTCAGGTCTGGAAATGTCCCTGGGGGTCATCAGTCCACCCGTCTCGCATGCCGGACCCGAGACACGGCCGGACCGCAGTGGAAGTGCGTCTGACCCTTTATGACTAGAGCATGACCTTGCACTGGCTGGACTCTCAGATCAGCTGCTCTGTTCATCACACTACTGCGCTGCAAAGTGACGATAACATCACCCCACTGACGGAGAGGCTGAAGGTAATACAGTTAGCTAGTGGAGAACAGATTCATTAAAGACTCTGTTGAAGGACGAGGAGAATTACTGCTCGACAGAGAGGAATGAAGGGTGTTTGTGGGTGGGTTGCTCATTGGCCCAGCAGTGTGACTGCTGTGCTTGATGGCCCCACAGGGAAGATCTGGGCGTCCCTATCATTGATGTAATGACTCCATCGTCATGTTTTGTCTACTCATCTGATCTGGTTTCAGGACAACTGCTTGTTAGGACATTCCAGCTTGAAGCACATACAGCAGTTGATTATACTCATCAGTATAATCGCTGTACACTGTATATACACTAAAGTCTTGACATCTGCAAATTTAATATTCTCAAATTCACTTAGATGTGCCTCTCCCTGCCTCCTGCCCAAGTACAGCATCCACCTCTCAGTGTGGTCTTGTTTTAGCATTGTATTGAACGCTCCAGGTTCTGTGTCAGCAGTGTGGGGAGTGACAGGCTGGAGACGACTGTTCATGCTCTCTGCCAGTCTTACATCCAGTGCATTAGTACTTTAATAAGGGAGATTTACGGTACTCATATCTTTTAGGCATAAAAGACTACACACTGAAGCACATTAGGTGACGCTATAAAGGTGGACTTGGTTACATACAAATTTGGACATTCTTGATGACACCAAACCCTTACAAATGTTGAGACCCTACTGTATACTGAAATCAAAGGGGTGCCCCAACAATCTTTTTGGCAATCTTTTCCACAAACAAGCAGACCTTCATGGCCAGTTTGACTCGTGTGGGGGCTCCTCTGAGCCCAGCAGTGTGGCCGTGCCTGACTCCTGCCCTTGTTACTCCTCCGAACTTTCCTGAACTGGCAGTTCCGGTCACTGATAATTACAAGGAGCGAAGCCTTGTGCAGTCTCTTTCAGCCCGAGTGAGAATCTTCTGGGTAGTTTTGCCCAGTTAGGACAAGTTGTCTCAGTAGCTGCGGAACGTCTTGACTGACCAGTTATTTATGAGTCTGCCTCAACTCGCTGGTTTCAGTTTTCCTTTCCACACACACGCATGCTTGTTGAACTCTCGCTGGCCACTTCTAAAGGCGTCGCTCGGGATTTTTAAGGGGGAAGTGAAACCTGGCATTTTTGCGCCAGTAATAACCTGTACTAAATCCAAGAAAGAAAACTTATTAGAAATGAAGAACGCGGATCGAAAAAGTTAAGATGAGGGCAACGAGAAATGGGCAATATCATTTTCATTGAAATCTGCTTTATTAATGAATTTAGTGAATACGTTTTCTAAAGATCCTGATCTGGCTGATCTGGTCTGGGCTCCACACCTTTTCCAGGAAAGGTCTAGGAGGTCATTCACCTGGACAGATTACACAGCTGTGTTCAATGTCATATGCAAGAGTCACAGAGCCACCACAATTCCAAAATCTCAAAACGTTCACACGGAAGAGCATGCGACCCTGCACATCTTCTCGCAGTGGGTGAATTTGCTGAAGGTGAATGTCCTGCCTATTGAAAAACAATCCATGTCAGTCCTTTAATTATCTTATTGTTTAGGGTATAGACCAACCACGTTGCATAACCGGTAATAATACAACACGGGAGAAAACACACACTGTTTTAAATCCTTAATCCCACCATAAATTCTTTGAAGACAAATCCAAACTCTAGTAGCTGTCTGAAAAACATTATTTTCTTCTGGTCTTGCTCCAAAGAAGGATCCCAGGGCTTTGAATTATGTTTTCAAACAACTACAAATATCTTTCACGGGGCTAGGAGAGAAATTGAAGAGCAGCAGACACAATTATGAAAGTAGAGATGTTGTGTGTATATAGTGTCTATTTTTAATTCACATCAAAGAAGGGGAGTGTAAGAAAGGACTTGATCACAAACAAAAGTCTTCTTAACGAGACATGTGCTTTGGACTGCAGGGTGGTTAAGGATGAAACATCTTCTGTTGTAAACATGACTCAGATGCCCCGTCGTGCTTCAGACACTTGTCTACAAAGAAGTCAGATTTCAGATACATCATATAATTAAACAATGTGGGCCGGATGGCTTTTTTTGTCACACTTTGTATCTGAGGTTTACAGCACAGAACACAGAACGAGACCACAGTCGCTGTGGGCATCTGATCCAGTAATTGGAACCAGTCTTTTGCTATATTGCCCAGAAGAATTCCTTCTGGAAGACTTAACAAGACATTTCAAGTTTCACCTGTCGAATTCTGCTTCTACCGCTGTCTGCATTTCCCAGGAAACTGACCCAGAACTTTCACAAGCTCCTGTAGAGGTCTTTTCTGAGATACAGTATATTGAAGTATATTGGGATAAAACTGGGGTTAATTTGAAGAGAATGTCTAGAAACTCAATGTTCTGATACATATTTTCTGAGTACATATTAAAAAGATTCTTTAAAATTTACATATGACTGTAATGTGTCCATTACACAAATCTCATGTATTAGAGTCATAAAGTGTTGAGGCTTTCTGGAAAAACAGTGATAATGTCTTGTGATGCCGGAAATGGAAATTCAGTGTTAGAGTCATATATCCTTCTTCGACCTGACATCAATGCTCTTTTTCTTGGCACCTGATGAGGACACATTAGAAAGGAAAGCAAAACCACAGGGAAGCAGAGGACACTGGATAAGCTCAGCAGTGGCAGTGCCTCCCCCTTCAGCACCTTAGTAAATCAGATCGGTCATCAGATCGCAGGGGCTCAGCAAGGCTGGGCCTGCTCTGTCCTGGGACAGGAGTTCTCCAAGGAAAATTAGGAGCCAGGCGTTTGTGGATCGGCAGGGGGCGCTACTACCTCAGAACCAGAATGTGCAAACCATGGTCCCAGTATGGCGACTGGGACACAGCTGTAGAAGGTGCTGACCTGACTACTGGTCAGTTCAGATCCCATGGCACTGTTTGGACAAGCTGGGGTGTTAACCCCAGTGTCCTGGCAGAACTGCACCCTGTCTGTCTGGGCTGCTCGCACAGCAGAGCTCCCTTCTGTAACACAGGTGGAACTGGACCTCAGTGGCAGAGGAAGTGTAGTCTCCTGTCTGGGTTTCTCTAGGATGAAAAGTGTCCTACAAGTTCAGGGAATCACTCTTGCTGTTCTTGGTGAGACACGCCATTGAAATTGCAGCTCTTTAAGGCATACTGAATATCGTACCCAGAGGTGTACTCTCTTATCTGTTCCCAAACACTGCCACAGCCCACTCACTCACACTGAAGAGCTGGTGTGGCACTACCAGGTTCACTGTGATAGTGTTGTGGCTATACTGTGAAAGCTGGTTATTTAAAATGGGATATGATTAAATGTATGCATTGCTTTAGTAGTAGTATAAACCCATTACAGACATGAACAGCCTTTTGCACCTGTCTAATCACTGGAGGACATGTGCCATTTGAAGACCCATAAATCACATTATGCGTCCTCAAATTACCCCTGTGAGATCAAATTGTCTTTAAACGTTTTTAACTAAACCAGGAAATGTGTCCAGGCTATACACAGACCAGAGAGATGAATCTCGGTTTGGCTCAATGAGCCTTTTTACTTAAGAAGAAAAGAAGATTCACACTTATCTCCAAGTGACCCAACAGGAAACACTTTGATAAATATCCTGGATCTACAGCATTTACAAAGAAAGCTCAGGAGGGAAGAGAACAGCCCAGATCAATTTCTCCTCAGCTGCCCCAACCCATGATAATAAATAACATCCTTTAATTTAAATAAAAAACCTACGAATACAACACCTGTCTCCTTCGCCTTCATATCCCACGCCCCTCCTGCTTCACAGCTCCACCTGTGCAGCCCCCTGCTCTGCAGCCAGGGGGTGGCACCTCAGCCAAGAGGGCTGAGCTAGATCTTACCATGACTAAACACTCTATCGATACAGCCAATGTGAGCTATCATTCTGTGTTACCACAAGACAAGCAAGTCAAGAAGTCAACAGGTTACAAATGTGAAACACACTGCAGACCCAGGGGCCACTCGAACCCCACCCCAAAATACAAGTGCTATCAAGACAACATCACTAAGACAGCTAACACAGCAGGCGTCTGCACAAACACAAACACACTCCATAAGAGGATGACAAGACTGTCATCTGCCTTACAGAAAAATTAGATCACATTTTGATCATACAAACTTTAAAATGAAAAGATAATCAGAACTTAAGTGAGGCTTAGCTTTTAAATTATTACACGATTTGTATTTTAAGAAAAAAAACAATGTTATCAATTTTAGCTTGAAATCATTTTTGAGTGAGTGGGCTAAAATGACTCCTCACGCAATCCCTAGTAATGTCAGCAGTGTTAATGGAGTAAGTGGAAACTGCTCAGAGCCGCTCTCTTCTTCAAGTTAATATAATACGAGAGCACCTTCTATAAAGACCCACTGTGAGAAGCCACAGGGGGTGCTTGCCAACAGACAGCAGGGCTGTGCATGTCTGATCGACAGCTTCAGGAATCTGCTAACTCAGGGACACTCTCACCACACCCACGCCTTACCTTCACACTGCTTCCCATCTCCCTTGTAGCCTGGTTTGCAGATACACTTGAAGGACTTCTGGGTATTCTGGCAAAGGGCATCGATGTGACAGTCGTCCGTCCCCTCAGCACACTCGTCAGCATCTGTGCAAATCCACCAGGAAAGAGCAAAGCAGCTGTGACAGGGCTCGACTCAAATAGTCTCAGACGGGCTCTACCAGAGCTGGGCTACAGCTGCAACTGTGACGAGGCTCGACTCAGACAGGCTCTACCAGAGCTGGGTTACAGCTGCAGCTGTGACGAGGCTCGGCTCAGACAGGCTCT